AGGGTTTAGGGTTTAGGGGCTCTCGGAGCGCCTCCCGTGAGCTCCTCAAAGTCGCGGCGCGCGGGCTTGCCCATGGCACCATCTGCAGGGGGCATGGCGGGGGTTTCAGGACATGCAGGCTGACGCCTGAAGCACGATGTCCTACAAGTGTAGGCACGGACTAAGATGACCAGAAGTACGACAGATACGGTGGAAGTTGCATACATGAATACATGCATGCATCCATGCAGCCGTGCAATCTTGCAACCATGCAAGCATGGTACACGCACACAAGGAGGGATGGAGGGATGCGTGCATGTAATTTCTGGAACGGAAAACGCCTGTTCCGAAGATGCTCCGGAAGGTCGAGAGACGTTTCAAAGAGATGCCAGCCACACGCACGCACTCTCGTCAATGTAGTAAAACACAACGTGCGCGAAAGCCGAGCGAGCGCAAGTTTATTCTTGCTATGGCGGGGGCCGCCCTACTGCCCCACTGGCAGTTCGTACAGGCACTACCCTGCTTGGAGACTTGGTCTGTCGCCCCCATCCGTGCCTAGAAGCATCCTCGAGTACGTCACCCCGTCCAGGACGAGCTGAGGGTAACTGCAAGCAAATCTTCTTCAAAGACTCACGAAGACATGTGGGAGTTTCCGAAAATTAGGGGTACCTTATTTTGGGGTCCTTATGTTAAGGATCCTATTATTTAGGGTACTATATTAGGGTCCCCTATATTCGGAAACCCCCATGTGTGGGCAGACTCCCCCTGTCTGCCACTGGCCGACCACTCCCAGGCGCACTCGAGCCAGAATCCAACGTGGGGTATGATGTTGATGCCTCCGAACAGGAGACCACTACCGGCATACAAGAACTCTATATACTATACATACTATACCTACTATATATACTATACAAAATGTATATACTAGATACACTCTTTTGCAGCACAATGTGACCATATGAGTTCCGGACCCGAGGCCCCCATCATCTGGTACCTGAGGCATATCTTCGCACAGGACCGTCCCCGGGACCCGTGAGACTCGTCTGCAAGCCAGGCGGCTTGATGAAGGAACCCACCAGCAGGTAGATAATCGCGAACATGATCACAACTGCACGAGAACAAAGAAGACAGTTGAGCTGGGCCTGCTGCTCTTTAGGGTTTAGGGTTTAGGGTTTAGGGTTTAGGGTTTGCTCATGCAACTCAGCCTCCTAGCCGAACCCGCTGCCAGGACCCCAGCGCCCCACCTCTTAAGAGGGCCTGGGCGCTGCCAAACTGGCCGAGGTGCTCTGCCTGATCTAGACTCTACTTGGAGGTTCATGGGTAGTTATAAGTGGGGTTGTAAGTAGGGCAACTGTACTTATAACCCATATTAGGGGACTTATAACTCCACTTATAACTACCCATGAACCTCCAAGTAGGGTTTAGGGTTTCTCTGGGGGTTCATCTCGGTGGAACCTGCCAGGTGCATTGCAACGGACAGCGAGCCAAGACAGGCCCCTGGCATAGTAGACATCGTTGCTCAGCTCGCCTGGGTTTGGATGGAGTCACTGAGGCCTGTAAAAACACCCAAAACTGCCACCAAAACGAATCTGCGCAAGATTTAAGTGGCTGGTTTGGGCTTTAGAGCTTAGGGCACACATCCTCGACCCCTACGCGAAGCCTTACACACAGGAAGTCCGGCTAGACTCTGGCAAAATCCGTAAACCCGAAACCCTGACCTAACCCTAAACCCTAAACCCGATACCCTAAACCCGAAACCCTAAACCCTGAACCCTAAACCCTAAACCCCTAAACCCGGAAGGCTGAAAGCCTCAACCCCTCGGACCCGCACATGGAGCTCACCGAGTTCAATCAAGCAAGACCCTGGGCAACAAACCCCTAAAACTCCTAAGCCTTAAACCCCTAAACCCCTGAACCTAAAACCTACGAACCTATGAACCTCGTCCCTCAATCAGACCGGGCTCAGGGCTTTCGATGCCGGGAAGGCCCTGGCCTTAGGCGAGTTGAGGATCCCTAAGCGCTAAAGCCTAAACTAAGTTGAGGGTTTTGTGCTTGTTGCTGCACGGCGAATATCACGATTACTCCTCCCACTCCTTGTTCCCCCCTCTTCTTATATCTTCTTCCTCCTCCTTCTGCTGCTGCTGCTGCAGCCGCTGATGCTGCAACTATGTCGGCGGCGACGACAGACACGATGGCGGACAAAATAACAGCAATGTCGATGTTGCGGCTACTACTCTGATTCTGTCTACTGGGGCTACTGCGATGAGGAGGAGTAGTAGTCCTCCTCCTGCTACTGCTGCGCAGCTACAACGACCACTGAATGTTGCCATGGCGATGACGACTCTCCCTTTCACACCCGCACTGCCATCCTCACTGTCAGCACCACCGCGACGACCCCCACCATCACCACGTCAGTAGATAACACCCCAAACTCTAAAACCCTAAACGATAAACCCTAAAACCTAAACCCTAAATCCTAAACCCTGAACCCTGAACCCTAAACCCTAAACCCTAAACCCTACTGACTGAGCTCGACCTTTCGAATCCTGGTCCAAACGTATGTGGGCGGAACAGCTCGCAGCTGGGATCAGAGCTCAGCTCACTTCCGAGTCGGTTCAGATCCCCGGCCCATACGCCCGCATCCTGGGCTGCTCTTGGAGGTTCATGGGTAGTTCTAAGTGGAGTAATAAGTGGGGTAACCATAAGTATAACCCATATTAGGGGACTTATAACTCCACTTATAACTACCCATGAACCTCCAAGCTTGCTTTGGGGGGATTTCGGACAGCTGTGCAGGTTCAAGTCGCTTTTTGGATGCTTGAGGGTGGCAGGGGTAAGCTTCCAGTGAGCTTTGGGTATCTTGCGGATCTACCTTAACCTACCAAAACCTACTTTTTTGTAAGGTCCCTATAAATTCCCTATTGGGGCTCACAATGAGAACCTACAAAAAACCTAGGTTTTGGTAGGTTAAGGTAGGGTTTAGGGCCTACGGGGACGCTTCCGGTTGCCGTCAGGGGCCATCGTCACGCTTTCTTGCTGAAGGTCGGGAGTCAGAGAAGACAGTCATGTTAAGGATGACGGCGCCGACAGTATATAGGGGCCTTAATATTAATAATTAGATTTAGAATAGGTTTGGGGGTATTCTAGACTAGAAGTATAATAAGGAACCCCCAAAACCTAAGGCCCCTACATTATGTTGGTCTCAACCCTTCTGATTCGTTCTTGATTGCCCTCAGTGCTCTATTCCCCGGTTGGACGCCGCTTGAAGGACAGGAGGTACATAGGGTCCTGTATAGAGATCATCTTAGGGCGATTGTTCGTGGCCTCATGAAGCCCATTACGGGTTCTTCATTCTTCTCATCATATAAACCTAGGATGTGCTTATTCTGACCCAAGGGGCTTATAACTCTAAGCCTTCAGTTGCAGCGATACTTTATACTCATACATTGGGACTATGAGGGGATGTCCGTCGAAAACGTGCCGAGACTGAAACTCCCTGGCAAGGCCTCCGCGTTGGAGGTGGCGCTGAAAGGTGACGTCCGCTCCGGTTTGGGGATGGGTTCTAGCGTTTGGTCTCGAGATTACGCGTGGTTTACAGGAAGGTGCCTCTTTCGGTTTGTTTTGGTTTACAGGGTTTGGGGATTCGGATGGGGGTAAGGAATTAATTGCCCATACTCACCACGTTTGTTGACGATCGCTCCTGTTTTTCGGCTAAGCAACTGTGTAGATCCTATAGAGAGCAAGGTAACCACCGCAAATGAACCACATTAGAGTGGGTTTAGATACGAAAGGTGGAATAGGCATGAGTCATGAGGATTTAGATCAGGGTTGGCCTTCAACAGTTGCATCAAATCCATGATGAAATTATCAGATTCTTTGAGGCTGTGGCTTTTCGGCTTCCTGTTTGGAGCGGTATCTCGGCTTCCTATATCCTATGCCTGGCTCAGCATCATTTGGGGGGACTCAGACACCGCCAAAGCTTTCAAAAACTTCGTGCTTCATATGGGTAGTTCTCTAAACTAGGGCTCCCTTTTTAGATTCCTTTATATAAGGATACCGCCTTACTTTGGGGATCTAAAACGGGACCCTGATTTGGAGACCTACCCATATATGTACGAAGCCGAAATGTTGACCCCGCGCCCTGCAACCTAGAGCCCTAAACCCTAAACCCTGAACCCTAAACCCTGAACCCTAAACCCTATAGACTCTAAA